GATCCAATATGGTGGACACTGAAGGGGGGTGGGCTGGGACAGACTTAATATTATACTCATTCTGATGACATTTTAGCCAAAGGATTTTTAGCAAAATGATAATTAATGTGCACAAATAAAGGATAGTTGTATTAACCATACATGTAAACAGTTTTATGAGGCAACTGCCTAGTATTGCCTAATAGGTAAATCCACCCCTGTGCACACACCAACTGCTCTAAATGGAATGCAACTGTTAGCTCTAATAGCACAAGAACATCACAGTTACCAGAATCTGAAGCTAAATAAATATCATTCAAAATTCTCAAATGGTGAACACTTCAAAACTGAAAAACCTAAAGGGTGCTGTGTCTATAAATTGACTGTAGACTGTTTTCTTTCAAACTTTTGATATAAAAGGTAGTTTAGCCTTTAGGCAAAGACTATTAGAGAACTTCTGCCCCTCTCATAGTCAAGGGGCCATTGTCTCATTTTTGTAGTTGTTCAAAAGTTTTCTGTTCAACAATATGCTTAGATGATAAACTACATTTTGTATTTCTCAACAACTGTAGTCTTTCACTTGGGCAAAGCTGACAGAAAAAAAGAGAAAGTGAGAGCAAGCATGACATATTTCATCCCTTACTTCCTTTAGAGTTGACTGTAAAAGGGATGTGTGATGTGCAACCGACATGCAGAGAGGACGCTTTCCTGGGGGGGTGGTTGGGGGATGCATCCCCCCCCCCCCCATGCATGATGGCACCTTTGTCATGGTTTCACAGTTGGACAGGCGGAGTCCAGATGCTCTTGCATGATAGCCGTAACCAGGCCTATAAAGCAGCTTTTAAACTCCAGTTGGGTGTCATTCAGCGGTTCCACCCTTATCTACAGCAAAAATGCTAAGACATCACAGGAAACGACATTACTTTACAGCAGGCTTGACATTTACACCATGTATTAGATGGTGGTTTTCTTTCCAGATATTTTTTTTTTCTGAGACAAGCAGGGAAGCTATCAGTTTTTAAATGATCATGCTGGAAATGATGTCATCATCTCTAGCTTCCTGTTATGCTTGGTACTGGACACACTATTATATGTTCCAGAATTCAAAAGATGATAAAAAAGTCCTTAAATGTCCATTTTTGGAGAACTCTCAGTAAATTAAAGTCAATGTCCATCAAGTTTCTCATTCAAATTATCTAAATAGAGTTGCTAAGAATGTCTTTTTTTCTCATTGACGTAAAAATTATGTATCTGCGTTAGCAAATTCAACTACTTCCTGTCCAGTTTGAAGTATAGCGAGAACTGTTAGCTCTTTCGTTGCTCTATCTGGACTAAAAAAAAATC